AGAGGTTAGAATAAAAATACTTTATATACTATTTAAAATGCTAAGTGTTCGAAAAATAAAAGGATTAAAAATTTGTTTAACATTTTTGTGCATTATGAGAGGACTAATTCATGCAGTTGAAAGAATTAAAAAAAACTTGAACAATAGAATAAATGAATAGGTTATATAGGAAAGTTACAAAAAACTATGGAAGCCAGTTGTGAATTTCACACGTTGAGCACTTTAGAAAGCAAAAACAAAACGTTACGCATGAAAGTAAGATATGATATCAATAGACTCTTTAATATCTGTGCTAATGTCTCTAAACTCTAAATAATGCTACACACAGGTGCTTAGGCAGAATGTGACAGGCCTACAGTGGATAGCAAGTGAAGCCTGGACAGCATCTACTGTGCTTCAGACACCCGAACTCATGCCGTACCTGAAGGGCACGCTCGGCATTGCCATCCGTCGAGGGAAATACCAGGACTGAAGGAGTTTTTAATACAAATACATCCTGACAAAGTAAACAATGACAGCTCTGGAACAAGCATGGTGGGAGTTCACGAACAATTTGTTTTAAAATGAATAGTTACTGATTGACTTTTATTTGCGTTATATCTGTTAATACAATTAATTTTATGATATACTGCATTTCAGGTGAGGCAGTTTTGGGAATCCACATTTCGTGTAAATTTGCTTCACCGAGTTGGCTGAAAGCTGGGGAAACACTCTGCAATGGAGAAGAAGACATACAAAATGTTGAGAGCGATTTTTTAGATGTTTCAAACCTCAGGCCTGAGTACAATATTTACAAAGCTGTGTATTCTCTAGCGTATGCCCTTGATGATGTGATGAAGTGTGAGCCAGGGAGAGGGCCTTTCAGTGGGCACAGCTGTGCCAATTTTCAAACTTTGGAGCCATGGCAGGTGTGATATCACTTTAAACTCTACCTTTGTTTTCATTGATAGATGCTCAATCATTTGTTACTATGTTTTGTGTTTTGTTTTATTTATTTATTTTGTATACAAATATAGAGATAGAATAAAAGGATAAAAATAAATGACAAGTTGTACATCACTGAATAGTGGGATAAACCTTGGTTTAGTTTGAGTCCTTAATACTCCCTTTGTTTCTGTTTTTCATTTGTAGCTTGTTCATTATTTACAAAAGGTTAACTTCACCACATCATTTGGTGATCAAGTTTCATTTGATGAGAATGGAGATGTGCTACCAATCTATGATGTCATCAACTGGCTGTGGCTCCCCGATGGAAAAATTAAAGTTCAAAATGTGGGTGATGTTAAGAGGTCTGATTTCAAAGGTGAAGTTCTTAAAATTGATGAAGACAAAATCTTCTGGAACTTTATTACTAAAAAGGTAATTTCTGATTATACAGATAACATTGACTGCAAATATAAGCCAGATTGAGTAATATATATTTACAAATGTATTTTTTCCACACAGCCACCTCAGTCAGTATGTAGTGAGAGCTGTCCTCCAGGTACCCGCATGGCCAGAAAGAAAGGGGAACCTGAATGCTGTTTCGACTGTGTCCCTTGTTCTGAGGGGAAAATCAGCAATACAACTGGTGGGTTTTCATGCTTAATATATTTCTGTATTGTCTTTTAGAAAATTGTTCTTTTTACAAAACAATAAGCCTCACTAACTTCCCCTTTTTTCAGACTCCATAGAGTGCACAAGTTGTCCAGAGGACTTCTGGTCCAGCCCAAAGCATGACATCTGTGTGCCTAAGAAGACCGAGTTTCTCTCTTTTCATGAGCCGTTGGGTATCTGCTTGACAACTGCCTCATTGCTGGGCACATTTCTCTGTTCTGTCGTCCTGGTAATCTTCATCCATCATCGCAGCACACCCATGGTACGAGCCAACAATGCAGAACTGAGTTTCCTCCTCCTAGTGTCACTTAAACTATGTTTCCTGTGTTCACTTCTGTTTATCGGCCACCCCAGATTATGGACGTGCAAGTTGAGACATGCAGCATTTGGTATAATCTTTGTGCTTTGTGTCTCATGTATTCTGGTGAAAACTATGGTGGTTCTTGCTGTGTTCAAAGCCTCTAAGCCAGGAGGTGGAGCTGTTCTCAAGTGGTTTGGTGCCATGCAACAGAGAGGGACAGTCCTGGTTCTTACTTCTATTCAGGCAGTAATTTGCACCATCTGGATTGTCATCTCCTCACCATCTCCACATAAGAACACCAAATACTACAATGACAAGATAGTGTATGAATGTGTTGTTGGGTCCACCATTGGCTTTGTTGTCTTATTGGGTTACATTGGCTTTCTGGCAATCCTCAGCTTCCTGCTTGCATTTCTGGCAAGGAATCTTCCTGACAACTTCAATGAGGCCAAACTCATCACTTTCAGTATGCTTATTTTCTGTGCTGTGTGGGTGGCCTTTGTCCCTGCTTATGTCAACTCACCAGGCAAATATGCAGATGCAGTGGAAATATTTGCCATCCTAGCCTCCAGTTTTGGCCTGTTGGTGGCACTGTTTGGACCCAAATGTTACATAATCCTGCTGAGACCAGAGAGGAACACAAAAAAAGCAATAATCGGGAGAGGAACCACCAATTTGTCAAAGTAGCAACTGTTAAACTTTCATGTGGTCTTAACCAGTTTGTATGTTGCATTTGTTCAGTAGAAATCTCCCTGAAGTCAGTTTTGCTGCTTACAACTGTGTCCTTTGTCTAATCAGAAATAAAGCATATTTGTGTGTTATTCAGATCTATGACTTGTAAATATATGCATGAAAGAAAGATCATCACGAGTTCCTTGTAGAAAGCTTACATTTTTACATTTTTCACTCATGCACTCTTGAAAATTTCCTGAAAATTTCCAGACAGCCTGAAAACAAACAAGACTTAGTTACAGTAATAATGTTACTCACCCACTCTGCTTCTTGGTTCACTTTAATTGGATAGACTACACAACAAAACAGCACCCACCATACACCCCCAAGCCTACAAAGACCACCTCCAACAACACAAAGATGCCCTCTTCCACACCTGATCCATCTACTACTCTCAACTCATACAGTCTGGCTCCAGAAGACCCAAAGCATTATTCTCCACAATGAACAAACTCCTCAACCATCTGGACTGTTCCTATTCCTTCACAGCAACAAATACACCTCCTTCCTGTCATTCTTCCAAACAGCAAAATAGACCATCTACAACAACCATCTACAACAACCTGGCCCTCCTTTCAGCTTCCCCCCTTAACCTCTAAGGCCCTGTCTCAGTTGTCCCCTGTCTCCCCTACAGAGCTTTCAGACCTCATGGTGGGATTGAAAACTTCCACCTGCCTTCTGGACCCTGTCCCCTTGTCAAGGCCTGCCTTCCCAGCCTATCCCCACTCATTATCTCAACAGTAAACTCATCCTTTTCCACTGGCACCGTCCACTATCCCAAAAACTTGCTGTCACAGCCATTTTGAAAAAACCTGGACTTGATCCGACATCCCAAACCACTACAAACCCATCTTCAACCTCCATTTCTTTCAAAACTACTGGAAGATGCTGTCGCTTCTCAACTCAAAATTCAGCTCTCTGCCTATAACCTTTATGAATCATCCTCAAACCTCAACATCCTCATCCTACTTGACCAAAGCGCAACATTCAACACCATCAACCATTCCATAATTCTCTCCTGCTTTGAAACCACTTTTAACATCACCAGCACTGCTCTCTCCTGGCTCAAGTCATAGCTCTCTGACAGATATCAGTTCATCAGCATAAACCAATGCAAATCTCCCACTGCTCCTCTCTCCCAAGATCTTCCCCAAGGTTCAGTTCTTGGACCCCTGCTCTTCATCATATACATGCTCCCCCTGGGTCACATAATCCACCGCCATGGACTTCAGTTTGACCGCTTTGCCAAATCCATAACTCCTGTCACTCACTCACTCAATCCTCACTGACTGCATCATAGAAATAAAATCCTGTCTTCAAACCAACTTTCTCAAACTCAACTGCGACCAAATCAGAAGTCATCATCATCTGCACCAAATGCATCACCAAATCCACCAACAACTTATCCCTCTCCATCGATGGATCCACAGTGCTCCCTTCCCCCCACATCTGTAACCTCGGTGTCATCTTTGATCAAACCCTGTCCTTAGACCAACACATCAAACACATCACCAAAACAGCCTTTTTCCATCTCAGAAACATCTTATTTATAAAAGCGCTATATATAAAAGTCTTAATTATTATTATTATTATTATTAATTTGTATTGAAAATAATGTGCAATGAAGAATTCATTTTGTAACTCATCTGTTTTGTTTTATCAAGGCTAAGAGTTAAACATACATTAGCATAATTCATTATTTGCGGCTGAGTTGACTGAGATGGGGGGTGTGTTTTAGTTGTTTGCCAGGTGGTTTTAGGCCCTCCTCAATTCTACCTGTTTGCCACAGCACACAATTTGTTATGTGTTTTAATGTCCTGCCCCCATATCCAACACCCAGATGACTGGTGTTATAAAGAATTGAACAATAAAGGATAGTGTGCATTGGGATTAAATGCCCTGCATATAAAGATAACTCTGTATGAAGATGGGAACCAGTTGTAAAAGGAGGAGGGCAGATATGGGAGCTTTTCTTAACACATATTATTTTATCTTGGTTTATTTGTCCCTCTTCTCCTTCCACTCTGTATCTAACTCTTTTTCTTTATCTTGTAAATTACAGAGAAAGTTTCAACTTAATGAAATGCACAAGCCTGGAGATGTGGTTCTTGGTGGGCTATTTGAGGTGCACTATTCCTCTGTTTTCCCTGAGTGGACTTACACCTCAGAGCCACAATGGCCCATCTGCAAAGGGTAGGTTTCACTAACATAGCAGACGGAAAGCATCTGTGTTAATTGTGTTGTTTGATTATTGCATCAGTATAAGGACAGTGCTGTAAAACATGTTTAAAGTATAACATTGAAATTGAAATATGTTATCATCATAGTGCTTTTTGATAAATATCCAGCTAGTTTTTGCAATATTTACTTTGAATACTCTGGTTACTATTATTCATTTATTTTCGTTTTTAATCTTTATACTGTGTGTGTTAGGTTTAAAACTCTAGGGTTCAGGCATGCAATGACCATGGCCTTTGCTATTGATGAGATCAACAGGAGCTCCGATCTGTTACCTAATGTGACTCTAGGATACAGTCTGTATGACAACTGTGGTGCACTTATCATTGGATTCAGTGGTGGATTATCACTTGCCAGTGGCAGAGAAAAGCACTATGTGTTTGAGGAGAACTGTTTAGGGACCCCTCCAGTCATGGGGATAGTTGGTGATTCTGCCTCTACATTTTCCATTGCCACTTCCAATGTGCTGGGTTTATACAAAATGCCTATTGTAAGTTTCTCTGTCTTTTTTTTGTTGGTATTTAAGTATGTTTATTTAATGTCTAAAATCACTGCATTATTTTGAAGTGAGGTATTCTTAATATATGATTATCTTAAAAGGGTGTCAAAAATTGTATGTTCCTTTATAGGTGAGTTATTTTTCCACTTGTTCCTGCCTTAGTCATCGGCAACGGTTCCCATCCTTCTTTAGAACAATCCCAAGTGATGCTTTCCAGGTGAATCCTTTTTACCGCAATGAGAATTGCAATATTTGTCAGTTTCATTCACAGTAAGCTTGAAGAAACTGACATGACAAATAACACGAGACAATTTTTACTCAATCTTTTTTTCACATGTATGATTTTAGTGTGAAGGATATATATTCAGTTATATTAAATTGAAAATTTACTGTATGTGTATCACCAAAATTTCTGTTTATTGTGTATGTCATTTAAATGAGTTTACTGGTCTAATACAATATGTTGTATTAGGTGCGTGCAGTGATACAGATTCTGCAACACTTCAGCTGGACTTGGGTCGGCCTGCTAGTCAGTGATGGTGACTATGGACTCCATGTTGCTCGATCCTTCCAATCTGATCTGACTCAATCCAGTGGAGCTTGTCTGGCCTACTTAGAAGTTTTGCCCTGGGACAGTGACCCAGCTAAACTTAGTAGGATTGTTGATGTGATGAAGACATCCACAGCCCGTGTGGTTATGGTTTTTGCACAGGAGTTTCACATGATACATCTTATGGCAGAGGTTAGAATAAAAATACTTTATATACTATTTAAAATGCTAAGTGTTCGAAAAATAAAAGGATTAAAAAATGGTGTTTAACATTTTTGTGCAATTATGAGAGGACTAATTTCATGCAGTTGAAAGAATTATAAAAAAAACTTGAACAATTAGAATAAATGAAATCAGGTTATATAGGAAAGTTACAAAAAACTATGGAAGCCAGTTGTGAATTTCACAACGTTGAGCACTTTTAGAAAGCAAAAAAACAAAACGTTACGCATGAAAAGTAAGATATGATATGACATGTTTGATAAGTGACTGCTCCTTTACATTTCAATAGACTCTTTTAATATCTGTGCTAATGTCTCTAAACTCTAAATAATGCTACACACAGGTGCTTAGGCAGAATGTGACAGGCTTACAGTGGATAGCAAGTGAAGCCTGGACAGCATCTACTGTGCTTCAGACACCCGAACTCATGCCGTACCTGAAGGGCACGCTCGGCATTGCCATCCGTCGAGGGGAAATACCAGGACTGAAGGAGTTTTTAATACAAATACATCCTGACAAAGTTAACAATGACAGCTCTGGAACAAGCATGGTGGGAGTTCACGAACAATTTGTTTTAAAATAAATAGTTATTGATTGACTTTTATTTGCGTTATATCTGTTAATACAAATTAATTTTATGATATACTGCATTTCAGGTGAGGCAGTTTTGGGAATCCACATTTCGGTGTAAATTTGCTTCACCGGGTTGGCTGAAAGCTGGGGAAACACTCTGCAATGGAGAAGAAGACATACAAAATGTTGAGAGCGATTTTTTAGATGTGTCAAACCTCAGGCCTGAGTACAATATTTACAAAGCTGTGTATTCTCTAGCGTATGCCCTTGATGATGTGATGAAGTGTGAGCCAGGGAGAGGGCCTTTCAGTGGGCACAGCTGTGCCAATTTTCAAACTTTGGAGCCATGGCAGGTGTGATATCACTTTAAACTCTACCTTTGTTTTCATTGATAGATGCTCAATCATTTGTTACTATGTTTTGTGTTTTGTTTTATTTATTTATTTTGTATACAAATATAGAGATAGAATAAAAGGATAAAAATAAATGACAAGTTGTACATCACTGAATAGTGGGATAAACCTTTGTTTAGTTTGAGTCCTTAATACTCCCTTTGTTTCTGTTTTTCATTTGTAGCTTGTTCATTATTTACAAAAGGTTAACTTCACCACATCATTTGGTGATCAAGTTTCATTTGATGAGAATGGAGATGTGCTACCAATCTATGATGTCATCAACTGGCTGTGGCTCCCCGATGGAAAAATTAAAGTTCAAAATGTGGGTGATGTTAAGAGGTCTGATTTCAAAGGTGAAGTTCTTAAAATTGATGAAGACAAAATCTTCTGGAACTTTATTACTAAAAAGGTAATTTCTGATTATACAGATAACATTGACTGCAAATATAAGCCAGATTGAGTAATATATATTCACAAATGTATTTTTTCCACACAGCCACCTCAGTCAGTATGTAGTGAGAGCTGTCCTCCAGGTACCCGCATGGCCAGAAAGAAAGGGGAACCTGAATGCTGTTTCGACTGTGTCCCTTGTTCTGAGGGGAAAATCAGCAATACAACTGGTGGGTTTTCATGCTTAATATATTTCTGTATTGTCTTTTAGAAAATTGTTCTTTTTACAAAACAATAAGCCTCACTAACTTCCCCTTTTTTCAGACTCCATAGAGTGCACAAGTTGTCCAGAGGACTTCTGGTCCAGCCCAAAGCATGACATCTGTGTGCCTAAGAAGACCGAGTTTCTCTCTTTTCATGAGCCGTTGGGTATCTGCTTGACAACTGCCTCATTGCTGGGCACATTTCTCTGTTCTGTCGTCCTGGTAATCTTCATCCATCATCGCAGCACACCCATGGTACGAGCCAACAATGCAGAACTGAGTTTCCTCCTCCTAGTGTCACTTAAACTATGTTTCCTGTGTTCACTTCTGTTTATCGGCCACCCCAGATTATGGACGTGCAAGTTGAGACATGCAGCATTTGGTATAATCTTTGTGCTTTGTGTCTCATGTATTCTGGTGAAAACTATGGTGGTTCTTGCTGTGTTCAAAGCCTCTAAGCCAGGAGGTGGAGCTGTTCTCAAGTGGTTTGGTGCCATGCAACAGAGAGGGACAGTCCTGGTTCTTACTTCTATTCAGGCAGTAATTTGCACCATCTGGATTGTCATCTCCTCACCATCTCCACATAAGAACACCAAATACTACAATGACAAGATAGTGTATGAATGTGTTGTTGGGTCCACCATTGGCTTTGTTGTCTTATTGGGTTACATTGGCTTTCTGGCAATCCTCAGCTTCCTGCTTGCATTTCTGGCAAGGAATCTTCCTGACAACTTCAATGAGGCCAAACTCATCACTTTCAGTATGCTTATTTTCTGTGCTGTGTGGGTGGCCTTTGTCCCTGCTTATGTCAACTCACCAGGCAAATATGCAGATGCAGTGGAAATATTTGCCATCCTAGCCTCCAGTTTTGGCCTGTTGGTGGCACTGTTTGGACCCAAATGTTACATAATCCTGCTGAGACCAGAGAGGAACACAAAAAAAAGCAATAATCGGGAGAGGAACCACCAATTTGTCAAAGTAGCAACTGTTAAACTTTCATGTGGTCTTAACCAGTTTGTATGTTGCGTTTGTTCAGTAGAAATCTCCCTGAAGTCAGTTTTCCTGCTTACAACTGTGTGCTTTGTCTAATCAGAAATAAAGCATATTCGTGTGTTATTCAGATTAATGACTTGTAAATATATGCATGAAAGAAAGATCATCACATGAGTTCCTTGTGGAGGGCTCACTTTTTTTTTTTTTTTTACATTTTTCTCCTGAAATAACAAAACAAATAGTGACACAAAGGACAAAACGGGGAGGACAATTTTACAGGCACACAGAGAGAAAAAATAAATGAAAACAAAACAACAACAACAACAACAACAACAACAAAAAACTGGGGGAAAAAACAAACAAACAAAGAAAAGAAAAGGGGGGGGGCACAAAAAATAATTAAATAAATAAAAACCTAAAACTCAAGTTTATATTAATGAGGGAAGAAACAAAAACAGAAAAGAACACTCGAGAAGTTGTTTAAAAATTAACAGATACAAAGTAGTAGTGGTAACAGATATGGTGTTTATTGTTATGATGGTAGTGAGAACAGAAGTTTTTTGTAGTTGATTGATTAATTGGGTTGAGAGCTCTGGCTTACAGGTGGAGGTGTTTGTAAATGTAATGCCCAAATAAGAGGGGTCCAGGTTGCTTCAAAGTAATGAGTTTGGTCTTGGAGCGAGGCTGAGAGCTTTTCCATTGATATGTATTGTGATAGGATGTTTAACCAGTGTGATATGTTAAGTTTGTGTCTAGTTTTCCAGTTCATCAATATGGTATTTTTGGCAGTGCTAAGGGCAATGAGTATAGGTCTGGGGGCTATTGGTTGCTGGGTTGATTACTGACAAGTCTCCCAGTAAGCACAGTAAAGGTGATAATGGAAGGCTGCACCCCAAAAGATTGGACAATCTGTCAATGACCCCCTCCCAGAAGGTACGTACAGGGGGGCAATCCCACATCGCATGATAATAGTTGTCTGTTGAGTTGAGTGTGCAGGATGATCAAATGTCTGAACCTATAAGTCCCATTTTGTATATTTTATGTTGGGTGAGATGAGCTCTTTGTAATACCTTGTATTAAATTAATTGTAAGTTAGTATTTTTGGACATTGTGAAAGTGTTCTGACAGATATGAGACCAGTATTCGGCATTAGGGTTGATCAACAGGTCGTTCTCCCATTTTTGAATAGGAAGTGATGTTGTTGTATCCAATTTTAATAAAAGTTTATATAGTTTAGATAATACTTTTTTGTGCCTTTGATCTTGTGTATTTCTTCTACCAGTGCTGGAGGTCGTAGGTAATTGCTTGTGGTATTGATTTTGGATTTGAGAACAGATTTTAACTGTAGATATTGAAGGTACTGGTCAGTACTAATGCCATAATTTCTTACAAGGTTTTCAAATGAGATGAGGTTGTTATCATAAAAGATGTGATCTAGGTTCTTTTCTTTTCTTTCCAAGTGACAAAGTTGAGAGGTGAATTGTTTAATGTAAAATCAGAGTTGGGCTGGGGTTACATTTACAGGGAGCCAGTGTAGATTTGGTAATTTTGATGATTCTCTACCAAGCTGTCAAAGTTGTAGAAATGGCATTCATTTTGAAGCAATTGTGACGTTTAAGGCTTGTGTTCAGGAATGGTAAGTCTGATAATGATATAGTATCTTTACATTGGGTTTGTTCTATTTCTGTCCATGAATAGTTTTGTGTTTTATAGTTAATCCATTTGGTGATGTACTGTAATTGGTTTGCGAGGAAGTAGAACTGAAAATTAGGTGCCTCTAGTCCTCCTGTGTCTTTACTTTTTTGCAGTGTATTGAGTTTAATCCTTGTTTTTTTTATTTTTCCAATAGAACTTGTTGGGATCATTGAAAAGAGATAATTTATTTTTGGTAATATTATCATTTTGACTGCAGCTATTCTACCTGTAACAGAGAGTGGCAGCTTCATCCAGCGGGTTAGGTCTTCCTTTATGTTTTTAAGCAGAGGGGTGAAATTTAATTTGAACTACTCTGACAGGTTAGCTGATATGTGTATGCCTAAATATTTAATGGTATCAACAGATAATGGAGTTGGTATATTTTGGATTAAAGCCATCCAGTCTTGTCCACATAGTGGGAGAATTGCAGATTTTGTCCAATTTATTGCATAGTCTGATATCTTTGCAAACTTGTTAATGAGCTTGTTGGATTCTTGTAGTGAGTTGGATGTGGATTGGAGGTACAGTAGAATATCATCTGCATAAAGACTTATCTTGTGATGGGTGTTGGAGATGTGGATACTTTGGATATTATCATTCTGGCGGATAGCTGCAGCAAGAGGTTCAATGAATATAACGAAGAGTGATGGGGAAAGTGGGCATCCCTGTCTTGTTCCCCTATGCAAAGCAAATGGAGCTGAGGTTATGCCATTGGTTATGACTGTAGCCATGGCTGAAGTGTATAGTGTCTTGATCCAGTTGATAAACAGTTCTTCAAAACCAAATTTTTTAAGTGTTGCGAATAAGAATGTGCGGTTTACTCTGTCAAATTCTTTTTCAGCATCAAGTGAGGCAATGATGGTCTTTAAATTGTTTAATTTTGAGATATTTATTAGATTAAAAAGTCTGCACATGTTGTCAGAGGAATGCCTACCTTTAATGAAATCAGTTTGATCAGGGTGTATTATGAGAGGGATTTTATTTTCAATGTGAATGGATAGAGCTTTACTTATTATTTTAATATCTGTGTTAATAAGTGATATTGGACGATAGTTCGAGCATTGTGTTGGGTCTTTATCTGGCTTTGGTAACAATGAGAGGATGGCTGTGTTCATGTTTTGCAGAATTTTAGATGTATGCTGAGTTTCTTGACACACTTTAATGAATAGTGTCGAGATTGTGCTCCAAAAATGTTTATAAAATTCAGCAGGGAAGCCATCTGGACCTGGTGATTTATTGTTTGGCATTTGATTTAGTGCTATAAAATATTCATTTTGTGTGAATGGTTTTTCTAAGTCATTTGCTTGATCCTTTGTTAATTTGGGAAGGTTAAGGCTTTCTAGAAAGGAGTCAATGTCTGATGGTTACAGTTCCTTGTCACAGGAGTATCATTTGCCATAGAATTATCTGAAAATATTGTTAATGTCTTCAGTTGTTAACATTGGCCTCCCTTCTAAATCCATTACTGTAGAGATTAATGATTTGTCTTTATTGTGCTTGCGTTGGTTTTCTAAGTATTTCCTGGATTTATTGTTGCGTTTGAATTTCTCACATTTTTACACTTTTCACTCATGCACTCTTGAAAATTTCCTGAAAATTTCCAGTCAGCCTGAAAACAAACTTCAAAAGACTTAGTTACAGTAATAATGTTACTCGCCCACTCTGCTTCTTGGTTAACTTTAATTGGATAGACTACAAAACAAAAGCCCCAAAGCATTATTCTCCACAATGAACAAACTCCTCAACCATCTGGACTGTTCCTATTCCTTCACAGCAACAAATACACCTCCTTTCTGTCATTCTTCCAAACAGAAATATAGACCATCTACAACAACCTGGCCCCTTCCTTTCAGCTGCCCCCCTTAACCTGTAAGGCCCTGAAACCACTTTCAACATCACCGGCACTGCTCTCTCCTGGCTCAAGTCATAGCTCTCTGACAGATATCAGTTCATCAGCATAAACCAATGCAAATCTCCCACTGCTCCTCTCTCCCAAGATCTTCCCCAAGGTTCAGTTCTTGGACCCCTCCTCTTCATCATGTACATGCTCCCCCTGGGTCACATAATCCACCGCCATGGACTTCAGTTTAACCGCTTTGCCAAATCCATAACTCCTGTCACTCACTCAATCCTCACTGACTGCATCATAGAAATAAAATCCTGTCTTCAAACCAACTTTCTCAAACTCAACTGTGACCAAATCAGAAGTCATCATCATCTGCACCAAATGCATCACCAAATCCACCAACAACTTATCCCTCTCCATCGATGGATCCACAG